TATAGTATAAAAATTTGTTGCAAAAAATTATATTTATTTTGTGTCCAGTGAAAATGTTGGCAGGGCAAGTGCTAATCTCAAATACTCGCCCGGCCAGGCCAGAGAATAATAATAATATAAAAATCCTTATTGTTGAGTCCTGGCATGTTTTATTCACAGGTTTGCAGGAGAATATTTCCAAACTGGAATGCACTACACCAGTTTCTGAACAACAGGCGGTGGGCTGCATACCGATATTGCCTCCTGCTTCATTTCATACAGCCCACATAGACCTGTCAGATATACAAAAGATCTGGTCCACAACATCCAGGATTCCATTCATTAATTTGCTGTGTATTTAGTATTGACTTATTATAATCTCTGCCTTGAAATCCCTGGCTATAGTATGAGTATACAGTATTATTTCTAATAGTTTTTGTGCAGGATCCAGACAGGATATACTACACTTCAGCCAGCAAAATATGGCAAAAAAAGAGAAGAGGATGGAGAGAAGAGCCAGTTTTTTCAGAGGTGGGAGGTGAGAAGTTGGCGTGCCTTTTACAAAGAAAAGAACTGTGAAAATTATAGAATTAAATTTATACAGTAATTACAAGATGAAACACATAAGTTAAACATGATTATATTGTTTATCAGCAAAAATCGGTGAACTATCAGAGAAAACCACTCCATACGCATTCACAGCATACACAGAGTGCACACATATACAAACACAGTCCTTTTTGCTGTTCATGTTTGAAGCTATCAGTGCTGTGTGCAATGGATAAGGATTTAATGCTTGGCTTGAGAAGGCAATGTCAGGGCAAAATATGTACAAAGAGTTAGGGCTCATTCAAGTGTTAGATTGGTATTTGTTATTCCCAGCGTGAAGAACATGATTTGTGGGTCCCTCATCCCCTCTGCTCCCCCGGCCCCAAATCATCTTGCCTTCCTCTCTCTTTTACTATTTTAAAAATAGCGTCTATTTGAATAATTGACATCACACACACTGTAATTTGAATTTTTACCAGCCAATCTCCTGAATGTATTAGAGGCTGCCTCTTCATGTTCTCCTCTGAAGCGACAGAAGTACAGCGGTTCGTTCACACGATATAGAGGGTCCCATCAAGAAAACACAATTACCCCAAAAATGTCAGTGAACACGGAGAGGGGTCCTAATTGGAGGTTGCCACGTTTCTGTTTTTCACTCATAAATTAATGTCGAATTTTCCAACTGAAATTTTCAACACAAGCACTTTGGTGGAATAACCAGGGTTGATTACCAAACTTCACGTACACATGTAAATCATTAGGCCAGTTTACCTAGAAAAAAAAAATAAAAATCAGAAAAAGTTTAATTAAACCAGCAGATGGCTCCTCTATGCGCAATACCTCCTTGTCTAATTTCTGCCTGCGTGCAGCCCTCAGGTTACCCATCATGCAGTGCATCTGGCAACGCCGGATCGGTGCATACACGTGAATACACTTGTGCGATGAGAAAAGGTCTCTCTCTCGTGTTTGCTCGCTTCCATCATCACAAAAGCATCTGCGGAGGGAGCGCTGGCCAGATTGGATGCTAAAAACCTGGCTGCCTCCCCCTCCCCTCCTGCCAAAAACGTAGGATCCGACAGAAAACACCGGAATATTGCTCAGAAAGTTTATAATTTGGTGACACGTCAGACCTCGATGAAAGGCGCTAATAGGCATGTCAGTCGCGTTTTGATAACAATCCAGAATTGGTGTTCCAAGCATCTCGTCCTCTGCTGGTAAATCAGATTACACAGCAGCCACGAGTAAGAATTTTGACAGCGCTAAAGTGACATATGCCTGCTGGCAAATGCAATACGACTGAAGCCATATCAGCGGGCTTCTCTTCTTTTTTTTTAAGGTAAATCGAGGCAAATCAAATCTGTGTTAGAAGATTCTTGCTTACGGCCCGTTTCTCCTGTTTACCCCTGACAGCTCTGAATGCTTTGATGGATCGCTCTTGTGTTTAAGTGTGTGCTTGCATGTGTGTGTGTGTGTTTAGCTGCTGCTAAAAGTGTAAAGACTAAAAAGCTTGAGGGATGTAAATTATCATGTGTGCATAAGAGTACCAGTGGGGAAAACAAGATTCCTTCTCAAATGATACTCGATTGATTCATTCTTTTTAACGCATCATAGAGGCAACATGTGTTTACAGATCCCATTCGAAAGACACATATACCACATGCTTGGAAGCTGGGTTTTTTAATTGAATTGTGACTTTCTGAATCATGTGGTGCGTAAAATTCCCACCATTATATGAGAGAAGAGAGACCCTTTTCTGTTGACATGATCCCCCCTTAATGAGTCGTTCTCTCGTCGAAAAAAAAAAAAAGAAGCTATTACTGGGACGTTAACCATTCAAAAAGTACACCTTTGTACCATAGTTACTCCTAAAGGGAGTATATTAGTGCCCTGAAGGCAAATTGTAGTACTTAAAGTGCACTGTACATATTATTACCAAAATTATACATATTCGTACCTTTTGAAAAGATACCCTCCCAGGGACAGCTTTTGTACATTTATTTTCTTTCTTCCCTTTCCTTTTTTTTTCTAATTATCTGAGAGTGTGGCAACCACTTCTGTACCTATCACCTTTTCCACGTTGTCGGTGGAAAAAGGGGCAAGAGACAGCAGTATAAAGGACCGGATGGGAAGGTAGGGGGTTGTTTTATACACCAGGCTGGCAGTGTAAAACTCACAGCATTTGCAGGAAATAATATCCTGTCATGTAGTAGGGCTGTTGCTTCCCTTGGTCCTCACTAGTCCTTCATGGTCTAAACACACAGTCAAACCAGCAGCAGCTCCTGGACGGCAGCCAGAACTGGCCGATGCTCCAGCACTCAATTCTCATAGTTGGATCCCAGCCAAGACACAGTGTCCGGCCAAAAATACTAATTGCAATTATCTAAAGAACCACTCCTTCTTTTTGTGTCCTTTTTATTTTCTCAAAGAGAAGGCCCCTGTTAGGTAGCCAAGGATGTCAAAATATTATTCATGAGTTTCATGCTAGGTTGAGACTAGCGTGTATGCGTATGCCCTTGCATGTTAGATTATTTTAGAGAAAAAGAGAGCATTGTAACCGTGTTGTCTCTCTGACCGACCATTATGTGTTGTCTAGTTAGACCTTTATAAAAGAACTATTGATTTCTGAGCGTTTCATTTGGACATCCACATCCAGTGTTTCAGCCTTACCCTTAATATAAATACAATACAAAATTAAATAAAATGAAGGAAAACCTGCATATTAGCAGACAATGAGAAGGCAATGCCAGAATAAGTATTGCTACTGTTAATTAAACACTAAAATTAATACTGTTAAAAACTATTTGTAAATTGATGGTACATTACTAAAACTAAAACTGCAATAAAAATATACTAAATAGAGTGAAAACAACCCTAATAAAAATGATAATCACATGAAAAAAACAAATACTTAAAAAGAAAACGGAAAATATAAAAATACATGTTAATTCACAATATTAATACAATTTTAGTATTTTAGTATAATTTAGTATAATTAAGAGAAATATTGATTATAAATGTACTTCATACTATAAATGCACTCCAATTTCGCAGGTGCAGTGTGTTCTTAATGATTAAAAACTTTTTTAATTAATGATTTTTGCATTATATTAGCAAACACTGTCAGAATCAACTTCAAGTCAATTCTTCTGTGCACTTCACATGAGGAGCATTTGAATGGCAAAAAGAGTTATTTGATATGTAGTGTTTCAAATCGGTCATTATGAGGTTCCATTCAGATTTCAACAATAGGCTCATTGGAAATACGTGCCTCTACATACATTTCTGCAAAACTGAAAAAAACATACCTATACATACGAATCGCTGCAGTTTCCAGTTGAAATAA